AAGGGGCAGACACCATTAGGGATTTGAATTCCTTGCTGTATGATACTTGTTTAGGGTGCTTGTAGAGATTCCAACGGCTGGTGGAGGTGGCACGGCCTGGCCGCTGCTGGAGATGTTTTTGAGAAAGCGGAGGTTTTGGATTTCCGGGAGTTCTGGGTTTTCCGGAGATGAATTGCAAAGAAATTTCTCAACACATCGTATGATACTCCGAGGATTTTTTTCCCCTTCATCTTCTCTTGCATCGGAGGGTTCGTGTGTGTGCAGACTCGCTCTGCAGATATTAATCTTCAATAATTCTCTGTGTCATTATTCCCGTTCACGGAATTAGTTGCTTTAGACCCCCCCCAAAAAAAACCATGGCCACCGGAAATATGTAGGATCGGGTAAGCGCTGGTAAGACCAGTATTCGAGTGGGCTTTCTTCCCCCGACCCGGGGTCGCCGTTAGCAGGGGCGCCTCCAGTTCCTGCCGATCGTGATAGAAAGGAGGAGATGGATTCATCGAGCGATCATGTGGGCAACACACCTGCTGACCCGATTTTTGCAGCAAAATAAACATCACTGGATTCCATGAAAGCCAGCAAAGCTATCTGAAATCTCCCTGTACTTCAACTTCATGCATGCCCCTTTAATCCATCGTTATACCTATCCTTCTGGCGATGATATTTCCCGAGTGAGGGCTAATGAATGAACTTGGTGTTGATCTGGGGACCGGCGAGCAGGTGGGAATATTGCACGTTTTCGATACGAGGCATTGTGCCCATAGCGGCTTGGGTGGCCACATCGTAACAGCAGAATCTCCCTTGGCCTCACGTTCCCAACAATGTTTCCTGGGTTATCCGATTACTTCTCTCCTGTGCTAACTTAGCTGCTATCTGGCTGAGCGAAGATAAATTATCGCCCGACTAGTCCGAGGGTTGGGAAATGAGTTTGTCGGCTTTGAGTGGTTCACCTTTTGGCCAGCGGGGTAATTGCAAGTATATTATTTATTTATTTCGGCCTCGGGAAAATACTGGTGTCTCCTCCAGCATTGCAATGTTCGTTGCGTGCAAGAGTTTCGTATAAGCAGAGAGCTGGCCTTTGTTTTGTTTTGTTTACCTACTCCATGCTGGAGGCGTCTGCGGTATCGAGTGCGAAGAGGTAGGGGAAGGGGGAGTTGGGGAACGGGTGAGAAAATTTGATACTATTGTGGAATACCACCCGTGCCCCTCTGCTGATTCAGAACCTTCAATCTTGCGCCGACTCAATCTCAGCCCCATGACAGGAGTACCTGTGCACATGATCGACTTGGTTATTTGAAAAAAGTTGCTAACTTTGGGTATCTTCTTGGGAAGAAGGCAGAAGGGTATAGCCATTGGTGGAATATTATGGCAGTGCATAAGGCTCTCGCAAATATATAAGGCTAAGCCCACAGCCAAGCGCACCAGCACCAAGCTCCAGAAGGGATAGAATCAGTTACCAGCATGCTCCGGTCAACGATTCAGAAGCCATTGCAGAATTGAATCAAGGCTTGCGAAAAATTCCCTCGTGGGAATGACGATGTCATCGGGGTAGTGCTTTCTCAACTTGGTATTCCGCCATAAACCCCCTAAAGTATTTTCCCTCGTAAGGTAGATCAATTTAGCCTAGCCTGCCATACCGCCGGCCTTACGATGTGCCCTTTCGCTGTAGAATGGACAGGCCCGTTGTGTGTGTTGTGAGGCTCTTGTTTCCCAAACCCTTCCGCCTGCATTTTTCGAGTGAGAAGAAATGATGTACAGGGGTGCACGACCTGCAACGGTATTTTGTGTCAACCCGATCCCTATTAAACAGCTTCCGCTTGGGGCACGTCAAATACTACCGGAAGGCCGTTGGTTAGACCAACCGTTGCCGCTGCCCCTGCGAATGATGCTGTTTGATTATTGTGTTTCTCTTTTTTTTTTTTTCCCTGGTGGAGGTATCTGTGTGAATCTTGGTTACACCAACACTTTTTTCTTTCTTTTCATCGGAGGTGGGTTTGTGCCTGGTTCCTGATTGATTGGAGATTGGTGTAATTAGTGAGCAGGTAGATGTGCCATAGATTGATGGGTAGGTGTCTTGTGACATATGACATAGCGTAAAGGATCTGCGAAACTTTTGTAGCTGTGATAAATGGTATCTCCCATCGCATCGGAAGTGTAGTTCGTGGGTTAGTGGATGACACTTGTGGGATGACAGTATCCATGGAATGGGGTGGCATAACTTACTCTACTGTACAACAAATAAACCGCTTGGTCCTCAGGATTCTGAGAGGTCACCATTCGGCACTAGTGTGCACCATCCGTAGGTGCCCAGGTCAGATAATATTAGTTTGGTTTATATGGATGAGGCTCAACTACTCCTCGGTGAGAAAGAGGTTGAGGTGGGATACATTTGTAGGGTTTGCGTGGTGGTGTATATTTCCTGCTGCAGGTATGTCATTGTTATCATCCAGAATATTTGCCGGATGTTCTCTTCTCATTTAGGGAGAGCTGGGGGTTATAGTGAGGATCTCTGTAATTTTCGAAATACGTGGTTATAAGTTTTGCTGATCCTATCAACGGTATATGATACCGCAAGGATTCCGTATATATTGTCCACGGGTATCACACTTAGAGGATGGAGTGATTTCGATGAAAAGCTGGCACCTGTAGGGGAATGACGCTCATAGTTTCTTTGTTAAAGCGCTACCTACAACCAATTCTGCAAAGAAACATCGTTAGTGGCACTGACCTACAGCGCAAGTAATTTACGGCGTAAAATAGTGAGTGGACTTGTACTGTGCCAGAGAATACCGTATTTTCACGCTATCGAACTACTATACAACTATCAGCCGTTTATTCACAAGAAATGTGAATCAACGATTTCCGTAATTGCGTTGTTCCATTTAACAAATAAATCCCCCAAACCCCTCGCCACAAATAAGGTCGATGGGGAGTACGGCAAGTGGGCGAGAAGTGGGAGACGGGAGGGGGAAGACGGTGAGTTGCATTGTATCTGGGCGGCGATTACTACTCACAGCTATGTCCATGAATGCTGATATCCGTGGTTTCATCACGTAGCAGGTTTTTTCCATCACACCTTTTGCGATCACATAGGTGTGGTAGTCTGCCAGGTAGATGTAGTATTATTGATTGGGATTCTTAATCGAGAGAAAAAAAAGAAAGAAATAAAGAAAGAAAAAAAAAGAAAAAAAAGAAAAACTACCCCAAGCTCGCGGACGGCCGCACATGTTATTAGCTCCATGACATTGTCTCTTTTGTTGCTTCTTCCCCCCACCCCCAGCACTAGTGCCAGCCCAACTGACAATCTGGCTTGCCAGCTGGACTGCTCTGCTCAGGTTTCCTCTGCTCTTGCCTTTACCCTTCCTCCATCCCCCATTCATCCACTCCGCTCCAGTGATCTGATCACTCGGAGAAGGGAAAAAAAGAAGAAGAAGATATAATGTGAGCCCTTCCTCCTAGCCTTTCAGTTTCCTTTCCTGTAAATCCCGATAAACCCGCGTTTGCCGCATACCTCTTCCAATGCCCCAAAAAGACGACAGAAAGTGTTTGATGTGTGAGAAGGAGTTCGAAGACGCTAGGGCCACCAAAAAACATTTAAAGAAATTTGGGCATTTCGTCAAGACAGAAACGACACTCAAGGATAGTTATAGACCGCATTCCCGGGAGCGTAGGGGGTGTGCTTTGGGGGCCAGGCCTGAATGTTGATTCCCTTTTTCATTCCTTTTCATATATACCAGTGTTAATAGGGTACCAGACAAGATTGTTCGAAGAAGGCAGACAAGGCGCCGCCGAAGCCGCCGAAGCTTGGGCCACAGCAGCAGGAGTAGGGGCAGTAGCACAGGCCCCGAATCAAGCTCCTCCGAGCATAGGAGATCTCCGGTGTCTAAAAACGGCCAGGGGCGTGGAGTCGATGACACTAGAGAACCACCCCAATCTAGCAATGACGACGGCCCAGCCGCCCCCGAACAGAGAGGACATCCGGTATTGGAGCCGCCCCAAGGGCATGGAAATGACACCTGTGCGCCCACCGCCGCAACCACGCAGCCCAGCGGCGGCGGGTCCGTCACTTCTGCAGCGAGTTCCTCAGACCTCATGGTGGGTCAAGATTTGGACGAATTCCCCTGGGAGGAACAGAAAGCCCGCTATCGAGAGCCGGAGGAGGGTAGGAGCACCGGTATGTGAAGGAAGAGTGGGGTTCTGCTTTCCAACTGTTTTCTTCTCGTTTTCCTTTGAGGTTAAAAGAGGTGGTAGGTTAGGGTTGGCTGCTGGCAGACACCTAGCGAATTATGATACCTGGATGGGATAGCGCACTGTAAACGCTAAAGAATGTATGATAGTTAGGCCTTCAAGAATTGCCAAGCCATTTTTCCCTCCTAAATCGTGAAGACAGCATTGAACTCCCATGAGCATGATAACTATGCTCTAACAAACTCAAACTTTTTCTACCATGCCGAGGAAAAACACTACAGCATGGTACCATTGCTGTGTAAACATAAGACTTTTTTACAAGATCATACAAGCCTTTTTTTTTTTTAGCTGCCTCCTCAAGATTCTCAACATCCCCCCCCCCATCCCTAGCAATAGTAGGCATGATACCGGTACCAAATTGCGGACAAAGTGTAAATGGGAAACTGCGCTAATGTCTTGGACAACCACGGTCCACGGCAGCATTTAGCACCGGGTCCGGAACCCGCTTGCCGGACCCGCGCGACACTTTTTTTTCTTTTTCCCTTATTTTTCACTTTTTTCCTTTTCCCTCCCTCTTTCTCCCCATTTCGCTCATTTTCATTTGTTTCCGGCTACTCCATCCTCTTAGTACTGAATTGTGCCGAATTGTATGATACGAGTACTCCGGGGCAAATTATCCGCCTGGATTACTGTACAGTACAGTACTGTACCTGTCGCACTGGATCCCGCGGGGCGATGAGTATCCGATCATTAAAGGCCCCGTTGTTATAATAACTTGACTTGGAGCACCACCTCCTCATCTGCTGTCGGCGAGTCAGCACGTCAGCCAGCAAACAAACATACAGAGCAAACACGAGACCTTTAAAACCGAAACGAAAGCTATTTTGGCAAACAAAGCAGCAATGGCGAAACCATTCAACTCGTCACACATTCAGTTCGGGGGTCAAGTGTTCAACGAAACACTTCTGCAAGAATTCAATTATGGTGTGGTCTTGCCCCCCCCCTCCTCCCCTCAACTTCTAACAAACTAATGTGGGTTAACCCTGAAAAGGAATATACTCTAATGGCACTCTCTCAAACAGCTCCCGTTGCTACCTCGTCTTCGATACCTATAGGCCCTGGATAGCATCGAACGGTAGTGTGTTTAATGGAACCAAGTGCGACTCTCCCATCAACCCCATTGCCACCCGGGGGGCCCTAGGGATCACCTTCGCGGTGCTCTACGCGGTGGTGATCGTCTTTGTCTGCGTCCACCTCCGCAAGCACGGTGCTACGCACCTACCACTAGAGAAACGGTTCCGGCTGGTGTCGAGGCGGTGGCAGTGGTACTGGCTGATGATTACGTGCGCTTGTGGAATGATGAGTGGATTCACAGCTATTGATATCGATAGGGATTACCTCATGGGCACGCCGTTCATCCTGTCTGTGTTGTTTTATTGGGTTATGGTCCCAACAACTCTTGCGGCCGTTTGGGAGACAACAAGGCATTGGGGGTCGTTCCTAGAACGACAGATCATGGAGAGTAGCCCTTTTAAGCTTTCGCAGGAGGATAGACGATCTAAGATCGAGTTTTATGTTCCATTAGTATTCTACTTGTTTGCATTTCTCGTATGCCCCCCTTTAACTCCTGGGGTTGGACCTTGACTAAACAAACAGACATTCTTTCTCTCAATCCTCCGCTCCTGGAACCCCATCCGCAAAGGCTTCAAGTCCGCCATAACAGACCCCCGCTTTCGCACCTCCGCAGTTTTCTCACTCATCGCCCTCCTGGTGATTGTGTTCTCATTCTGCGTTAGCATCCACTACTACAAGCCACTATCCCACCGCATCCCTGCCAAGATCCCAATCTGCATCACCCTTGCCTTCGTCCGCGTTGCCTACGCTATCGCGTGTTCCTGGGAGGCCGACATAAACCCATTGTCTATACATGCTTCCCCCGCTTACGTCTATGCGCTGGGGTACCTGCCCAGTTTGGGCATCATGCTCACAATGATTGTGGCCGGTTATAGGGAGATGAACGAGGATTTGTTTATCAAGAAGTTGAAGGCGGAGAGGATTAGGTTGGCGGATGGGGAGATTGAGAAGGGGAGGAGGGAGGAGTTGAAGAAGAAGGAGGAGGAGGGGTTAAAGAAGGTTGGGGAGTGATTTTTCTGATGGAGTACGGGGAAGAGTTGTAATCTTTCGGGTGTCAGGTGGTTGGTTAGTCAGAGGAGCACCTTTATCCGGAATCTTTTTCCCCTTCGTTTTCGTTTAGCATGACTCGGGATATTGTCGTTTTTCCCGTTCCCTCTTCCAATTTCGACTATATAAATAGGGACGCCGGCCTTTTTCCATTTTTCCCTTTCATTACCAATCTATCCATCCATTCCTTTCCTCCCTTCTTTCCTCCCTTCTTTAAAGCGGAAACGACACAACTTGTACGTCTACCATCATACCACACCATACAATACAATACCACAATCTAGCCTGGCATAATGGCTTCATTCATTTGTTCTCCACCAAAAAGCAACCGCACTCCTCTTCACTTTACTCCACTACACTTTACTTTACCAAAAACAAGGCACTTGTCTTAACAGAATTGGCCAAGACATGCCCCCCTCCGAAAAACCGGCATCGGGAAGGGGGAGAAAGGTACAAACCCGGCCGAAGGGTTCAACCACCGCCACCGACGTCATTGTATGGCCAGCCGCCACCCGCACGCAGGCACGCACGCAGGCACGCAGGCACGCAGGCACGCAGGCACGCAGGCACGCAGGCACACACGCAAGTGACTAGGTGATAGGAACTGGCCGAGGCACGATTCGTACACACGAACAACGCAGGCCTGGTTAGTTGGGCTGGAAGGAGGGACATGTGGAATTACGTTTGTTATTGTATTTGCAGTGCGGCGCAGTGTGTTAAGTTAGGAAGCGGGGGTTGCAATAATAGTACTATAGTATACAATATCGTAAAGTACCAGGTCAAATCGTTTCGTCCGGCGATGCAACCACAACTCCACCACCACTATAAATTTACCACCTAGGCAACCACAACTACACAGAATGAAGTGAAAATTTAGTTAGAGATTCAATAGATATAAGAAAATTCTCATGTGAAATTATAGAATAAAAAATCAATAATTTGTATACCATCTCTTTGCATCTAAAACAGCAGCCACTCTCCTAGGCATAGACTCCCACAGCCTTTCCAAAAAATCCCCCTCTATATCATGAGTCCAAACCTTATTAAGAACTTCTGCTAAATGTCTTCTAACAGTTTCTGGACCAACCACCCTTAGTCTTATGAATATCAGGAAAGTGCTGGTGTAGCTTTTCCTTTACCCTCTTTCAACAGTGCTCAATAGGATTGAGATCAGAGGAATTGGGTGGCCATTCCATAACCTGTATGTTGTTTTCCTCAAACCAAGCCATAGTATCCTTTGCAGTATGTATCCTTGCACCATTCTGCTGAAATATAGAATCCCCAACTGTGTCCTCCACCTCCTGCCAGGTATCAACTAAACCATTTTCCAAAACTCCAATATATACAAATCCGTTCACACTCTTCTCAAAAATGGGTATCAGAGGACCTTTATTTTTAGCCAACTTTTACTCAGGTGTTCCGAATACCCAAATACCCTTAGGATCTTTAACCTTTTCAACCATGCATTCATTACTAAAGATGACACCCTCAAAGTGCTTCTTTGTCCAATCCTTATGCTCCATACTCCAAGCTAATCTCTTAACAGCATACTCATCTTCCAGAAGAGCTCTCTTCCTTGCTCTCCACTTCTTCATATTAACTGATGCCAAAGCTCTCTTGATAGTACTCAGAGAGGCATATAGTGCAATATCATTGCACAATTCTGACAGGGTTTGGCAGTGTGCCTTCTTGGACTCTCTGGCTAGGCAGCGGTAGGTTCTGCTATTGATAATTTTGTGTCTTCCTGGTGCTGGAAGGTTTTTCTCATCACCCCTCTTTTGATAACGCTTATGAAAACTGAGAACTATACTCTTTAAACAGTTTAAGAGCTTTCCAATTTCAACAAATGAGAATTCTTTTTTTCTCAGAGCAACAATTTGCCCTTTCTCAAAGTCTAAGAGATGGCCGATCTTTTCAGAAGGCATTGTGGTTGAGGGGTGGTTGATCGGTGGGGTGGGGTGGGGTTTTTTGAGGTGTTCAATTACCACTGATCGGATGAAACGATTTGACCTAGTACTGTACTGTACAATACCGTGCACAGTGCACAAAGCCTTTCGGAGTCGGACTCGACCGGGGACCAGTACGGTAGGAGTGCGTATTCTGTTGTGCAAGTAGCGTATAATAAATATTGATATTCTTATTATGTACTTTACTCGAGTAACAGTACAAGTTAGCGAAAGGCACGATCCGATGATCTGATACCCCATCTAATCAAACATTTTCTTCCTCCTGTCCAAACCCCCGACAACAACGAGGCATCCCCCCAGAGAGCCGGGCAGAATGAAAGGGACAAAAGCCAGCGAAAAAAAAAAAAAGCGGAGAAAAGCGGAACCAACAAAGAAAGAAAGACCTCCGACTTGGTCGGAAATGCATAAGAAAGCATCCCGCCAGGTCTCCCTCCACATTGCCAAGAGCTAACTAACCAGGTGTCATCGGGGCCACAGTCACAGACCAACTAACTAACTATAAAAAAAGGAGTGGTTAATAATTTCCAACTCGCCCGAGGTCTCTGATGAGTTTCTGCAACTCGTGGAAGGGTTGAGCATCACATACCGGTATGTAGGTACGAGCGATCATTGACACTTTACCTAACTTATTATATAAATTACCAACTAGCGTATGTCACCGTGCCGCACAGTTAAATTTACATAGAAAATCTCAAATACTAGCAATTGAACCGTGCGCCGGGTATACGAGTATATATTGTGGTCCCAAATTTCCTTCTCTGGGAAAAGGTGTGTGTGAGAAACACGGGGACTGTAAAAAAAAAAAAGTGAGTTGTTCAACCTCTCCGAAAGACGGGAAAGAAAGAAAAAAAGAAAGAAAAAACATCATACTAGACCTTACCGGCAGACTGTTCAATCACTCGTGGTGTCGTGACGTTTGTGAAACGGGCTGCTATTGCATACTGGGGAAAATTGGCTAGAGCCTCAGAATTTTTGTGGTATGTAATAGCAGTCAGTTTTTTTTCTTTTTTTCTTTACGAACGTCACAGGTGCTTGTGATTCTGCGCTACTGATGCTATCTGCTGAGTATGTAAGCACAGTACATGTACCTGTACGTATATATGCATAGGTTGGGGAAATCTTAGGCGATGGGGCAGATATATACGCTAGGGTACCGGTATCATATAATACGCCCTAATATCATGTATAGCTGCCCCTGATATCGCTATCATATCAAAGATCCCTCTACCTTGAGCGAGCGAGCTGCACTGACTCAACTCGGCTTAGGGGATGGAGGGGGCTGAGAATGAGAGGGTGAGAAGGGGTGAAAGAGTGACAAGTTACTGTTGAGATTGGGGGCTAAGGTATATTGATGCATAATAAAGGTCAGAGCTCCGGAGAGAAATACCGGTATGGCGTAGTGACTGCATGGGGGGTCCTGAGGTCGTGCTCTCTGCGCGTGATCAGATCAAAGGGGAGTATCGGGGCTTGTTCTACCAACCGGAGGAATTGTAATATGCGCCTATCGCAGTAGACCAGTAAATACTCGAGCATTATTCCTTCTATCCCACCCACATACGAGTCAAGCCAAACCCTGGGTAACGTGCGCAGCTTTTCTCCTTTATCGGCACCGCTGTTGGTAACTTTCCTATGGGACAACGTGGTTGGGGAAGGGGGGGATTTTTGTAGTATTATGGTGATCCTGCTTGCTTTCCCCGGAAACTCACTCATCACCTACCACCCACCACCTATGAGAAAAAATTCAGCAAATAAATAGAACCCTTTTGATGCATGTGCCGTGAATTCGGTACTTATGCCGATATTTGGGGAAGACAGCATCATGGCATCTCTCATCTCTTTGATAATTATGTGGCTCGAAATAGAATGTTTTTTTCTTCTCTTCTCTTTCCCTGCGCTTGTTCTTCCTATTTCCCACGCAGAGAAAAAGAAAAAACAAGTGAAAAAGGGAACGAGTGACACAACAATACATTCAATGTTTGCTTGTTGTTCATTATGTTTCCCCACGTTTGCCAGCGTTGACTTTATTTCATTCAAGAACCGTGGATACGAGCTAATAGTCCCCCCATAGTAAAACTGGGCTGCTCAGATGGTAAGTTAGAGCTGCGATCGATGGATAGTTAGCTGGTCGTACGCGCGTCTGAGAGCAACAGCACATTGCTCAACGCACCTAGGAATAGTGGATCGCTTGTTCGGAAGACTCGCGTGTGAATTGTTCACAGCCCCGACAAATGCCCTGGTGTGCGGGGTGGTGCGGTGTGTTAGTGCTGGTTTGCGGATCAATCGGGCAGAAAAGGAAAGAAGCAAAAATGAAAAGAAAAAAAAGGGGGGGGGGATTGAATGGAGAGCGAACTACGTTCGGGAAGGAAAAAGAAAGCAAAAAAAAAAAAAGAGGAGACAATTGACATCAACACAACGGGTTGATTAACTTGGGAAAAACTGTTCGTGTCAAGGAATAAAATCAGGAAATAAAAACAAAAATAATAATAATAATAAAGCAAGAGCTGGACGAATTACTTTTTGCATCCGGTCCATATATTCCTCGTGTGAGACATTCTTTATCCCAAGCTTGACGCGGCCGTCTGGGAGTAGGTCGATATTATTCTCGCCAAGCCGCTTCTTTGCGCTCTCTCCACTGCGGAAGCTTTCCAGCAATGACAAATCCCACAACGAGGAGTACCCCGATAAAGAAGAAGACGAAAAGCGCCGGTGCGATTTGTGAGAGTGACGCAGCCATTTTCTGACTTTGTTGTTTGGTATAGAGAACAGAGCTGTTTCTGGTGTTCTCAAACGGGGGGGCAAGGTTGGTGGTTTTTCTTTCCTTTTTCTTTCCTCTTTTTTTTTTCTTATCCTTCTCTTCACTCAGCGATCTGGTGATGATGGTGGTGATGAAGGGGTCCTGTTCTTGCCTTTGGAAGAAACGTTGCGGGATCTGTAAGGGGTTGGTGCCATGCTAGCTAGCGTGCTGACGTAGAATGAGTTCTGCTCGTTTGAGGGAATTGGTTGGCATTGATGGGCAAGGTATCATACCTGGAAATGGGAATCGCTTTTTTGTCTTGGGGGTTAACTCAATCCGTGACATTAAGGAAGAAAGGTCGGCAACGGGGAGGAGGGGTGGTTTGGATCGAAGCGTATTGGTGTGGGTGCTGTGCGCTTGGAGACGCCGGGGGAGCGTGGGAATGCTGGGGGGTTCTTTCAAAGGGACTCGGATTGCGCCAGGCGTGGGTTGTTGTGAGTCTTGAGGGGTTCTCGGTATCCGGTGGTAAAGGCTAGAAGAGACCCGTGAGTATGATACCGTAGCGTTGTCTACTCCGTAAAACCCTGTGGGCGATCCTGAGGGCGCCACAATGACGTTCAGGGAGTGATCTGAGGCTCATTTCGCTGTATTTGGTATGATATGATACAAGTATCATAGTCTACCTATACTCGAGTACTCGTACTGTACTTGTACGAGTACAGGTACCGGCGCCCAGTAAAGCTATTCTAACCCCAGACTGGTCCAGAGCCTTATCACCTTCATGGTAGACCGTACAAAATGTGCCGGTACAGTACCTCACAACTTACTGCAGCTGTAACTTGACATACCGCAGGGACTCTAAAGGATATTAGAGCCATTGCCAACAGCAGTAAGCGAGAGAAGCGATAGGAAAAAAAAAAGAGATCAACAACATATCATAGATTCCCCCGAGAAATGCAGCTAGAATATCATGCAAAGGGCTTCGTAATTTCCCCAACATGCTGTACCTCTGATTTCCCAATTCCAGCTATGATATCCTCTGTGCAGAAAAAGTGAAAAGAAA